AATAAAAAGAGTCACAGGGAAGAATTGAGGTCATTGTTAGAATTTTGTACTCAACTTTGACTAAAAGAGTTTATGAGAAAGCAACAGCCACTGAGTAAATTCACTGTGAACAAGTCTTCTGACCTCATTTCTGACAGTAGTGTGTACCTGGACCAAAATGAAATGAGAGTCCACCTAGCAAGATATTTGATTTGAATATCAGACAATGAAGTTGTTGCCTCGCACCAGGAAGTTGCAAGATTCTTTACATATTCTAATCAGTTTTACTGTCAATGTGACCAAAAGACCTGACAAGGACAATGCAGAGGAGGAAAAGTTTATGTTGGGCCACAGTTTCAGAGGTTCAGTGCATATGCCCAGGGAGGTGAGGCAGAACATCACAGCAGAAGGGCAAGGCAAAGGAAAGCAGCTCAGAACATGGCAACCAGGAAGCAGAGAGAGTGCTGAGCTTCCTTCACCAAGGACAAAATATATACTCCATATATAAAGTAGGTTGACATCCAATTCGAGTCTTCATATATGTACTTTGGATAATGATGTCCATCACATTCCACCATCCTTGCTAATCCCCTGCCTCCTCCCTTTCCTTCCCTCCCCTCTTCTCTACCTAGAATTCATTTATTCCCCTCATGTTCTCTGTCCCTACCCCACCATGTCGTGTATTTTTAAAAATAAAATCAATTAAAATATATATATATATATACTCCAAGGGCACAACCTTCTGACCACACCCTACCAGCCTATAGTTACCATCCAGTTAATCCATATAAGTGAATTAACCCACTGTTTAAATCATGCCTGTCATAATACAATCATTCCACCTCTGAAATCTAATAATTTCACATTGTCTTACACATGAACTTTGGGTGACACTACATATCTGAACTATTAACAGTGTATTTTAAAAATAAAACAAATCCAACCACGTTAATGTGAGATTTGTCAGAATAGGAAGGATCGAGAATTACTCCAATAACTTGATTGAGCATTTCACTGGAAAAACAACATTGCCAATCACAGGTGAAGCAGACAGCAGTTAGAGAAGGTTTGATATGGATTTGGTGGGAATTAGATGGCTCATCTCTGAATATGTTAAGTAATTGATGCTACTAATAAGTAGTAGTAGTATTTGAAATTTCCAGAAAATTTTAGTCTTGTAAACTAGGTGATCTTGAGCATTAAAATGATGTTTATAAACATAGCAATGAGGGAAAAACCCACAGGTAATTTTAAGTTGAGTTCAAACTCTTCAAAACAAAAGTGTTTTCAGTTGGGCAAATTTATTAATCTTTTATAGGAATTCATAATTAAATATATAGGTAAGGAGTCTTCAGTGAAATCTTTGAGATACAGAACAATACAAACTTTTTAAAAAAAATTCTTCAGAAAAATCACTGATTTCTTTTTTTACAAGACTGGATGGATTGCTAGGCAAAACTATATTTGAAGGAAGGAAAGAAATTTGGCATGTGTTACCTTGGCAATTATCCAAGTGTATAATTTCAAGTCCCAACTGCAAGGACAGCACAGCAGTACTTAGCCAATCTATTAATTCATTTAAAATAAATAATATGGATATATTCACACTATATATCTTATTGTAATGATTAAACTCTTTTAAGTGTGTGGCAAAAACTAACAAGAGTGATGCTTAATGCTTAGGAATATTGAAAAAAAATGGTAACAGACTAAATAAAGTCTATTTACATTTTAAGAGTCTCCAGTAAAAGAATCATTTACACATGTAAGGAAGTTGATTGGGTTAAATAAATAAGGCCCCTATTCTACCTTGAATAACCATAATGGATGAGATGCTTTGATAGTGACTAGATATATATTTAGTGAATAACTATCATGTGCTACATACTCAGCACTATCTACTGAGAGAACAGTTGAGGGGAAGACAGCTACCACCCTTACATTAGAGGTCCTCACAACACATTTATTCATTTTATTTCTTACTTATCATTCTGCATATTGTCTTGTTATTGTGAACATATGTAACATGGTTATACTTACTTGCCTAGAGGCAAGGTCCATAATTCAGCCATTTGTTCTATCAAAAAGTTTTGAAAATTTATTGGCTTTGTATGATTTTATTCTTCAAATAAACTTCAGAGGTAAGTATTGATCATGATTAATAAAGGAGTTCTGAATGATTGCAGGCATCACTCTATCCTACCATCCCTTTATGTATTCATTGGATCAAAAGACCTGTAATAAATGAGAAGTGATTCATGTTCTTATAAATATGTCTAGTGAAAATTATTTAATAAATATCTGAGTTTATGTGTTTGTCTATATGTATTTGTAAACTTCACAATGTGAATGAAATCATTGAACATTTTATGGAATTAATTTTATTGTTTTCATAGTTTGTATGTACACATCTATGAATATACTATTGATATAAATTATACAGTTAAGTACATATATTGATACCTGAACTGAGATAAGAAGACATCCTTAATCCTCAATCCTAAATCTAAATTTATTTTATTTTAGAATATATAGCAAATAGATATATCTGTATATATAAAGAGAAAGAGATAACTCAATCTAAGACTGAATATAAAATTATATAAGTCTTTGGTAATTTGTTGAAAGTAAAAAAATGAGAACTCAGTTATCATTACTAATGATCAAAAGATTYATAAGCCAATATTTTTTTACTTATCTGAATATTTAATCATGAAAAAGGACAGAATAATTTATTATTATGTGTTTAGAAATTTTGTTTATAGGAAAATCTAGGTGTTTTGTCATAAAATCAGAGTTTTTCAATAACAATTTTACCATATTTTCATTTTCTTTCATCGAAGAATGTTTATATGAGTTGTTTTTACATATCTAGAAGTTAAAACATTTGTTGATTTTAATAGATGCTCAATAAATATTTGACAAATGAGCATATAAATGGATAAATAAATGAGTATCCCACATTGGTTCAGTGAAATCAATAGTCTGTGATACTGAAGACAGTTGCCCTAATCCCCACCCAAAACAAAATTTGGAAACAGAATAAGCTATACCTTGTGTGTTCCTTTGGTAGCAAATAATTCTAGAAGAACAAATAATTCTAGAAGAACAATAATTCTAGAAGAATAATTCTAGAAGAACAATTAAGAAAAATTAAACAGGTTAATATAGGCATACATTTTGAATTTCAGGGTTACCAAGAAATCTCACACCTTTACCATACCACCTTCATTGCCAACAAATATTAGTTCGGAGAGTATTTTTGGAAAATTGGTTTGGATCATTGTCACAATCCTTGAATTCTTAAAAAAAAAATGTATGTCAAAATAAATGACAAGTAAATGTGGCTTTTAAATTATTTGAGCATAGATAATTAAATCCTTTAATTAAGAATGTCAATTACCAACATCTAATATTAACAAAAACAACTAATGCTGGAAACATTAAAACTAATGTTTAAACAAAATTGTATTTTGAATCATAATATAAAATGCTCCTAAGATACATATCCTATTATCTTTTCCATTGTTAACCAAATTTTTAAAAATGGATCCACTTCTAAAATTTTACTGCTTTACAAGTAGTGCAAGTGCCTTATTAGGAAGTATTCTTTTTAAAATATATTTTTTAGTTGTTAGTGGACATAATACTTTGGTTTTATTTTATTTTTTATCTGGTGCTGAGGGTGGAACCCAGTGCCTCATGTATGCTAGGCAAGTGCTCTACCACCGTGCCATATCCCCAGCCCCAATTTTATTTTTAATGAACTCTTTTTCTAGGGGGTTTAGAGAATTTTTCTTCCTTTCAGTTCAACATATAAAACTTTTGTTGTTGTTGTTGTTGTTGTTTCTTAAACTTCATATTTTTGGTAGCCAGACTTCAGTATATCATTAATGGGCTCTAGAACTTGAGGGAGTGTGCCAAATTAGATCTTACTATACAGTGTGATGTGTATTTGGTCTTAAATGTGGCTGTAATTTTAATTAGACCACCTGGCTTGTTTATCTTTCATTATCTTTTCATTGTCTTTCATTATTACTTTGCAAACCTAAGTATCTGTGGTCAGAGTGATGTGGGGCAACCTGGGAGTTAGAGAACATTAGTGTTCAAAAAGAGTGAAATAACTAATTCTGCACTAAGGACATGTCAATATCATACCTTGACTTACTCCAAAACCATAGCATTTCCACTAATTAACACATAAATCTTTGGTATTGTTTACAGTATACTCAACATGGAACATAACTTTGCTTAGATCCAATAAAGTATTCCACTTATAAATAAATTATGTTGTGGAGCTTAAGAAACAAAGAATCAGTTAGTGGCAGCTTAAACTCCATGATTCTCAGAAACTTTGGATTGGCACTAACTGCCAATGTATTTATCTAAAAAATCCTCCCTCCCTTTTCTTTGCTATTGAATCATTCATTGACAGAAAAACAGACTTTGTTACACATAAATGTGTAATGCATTTTTGGAAAGTTGACATAATTGCAACGATGTATCTTAATGGAACATTCAGCATTATTACTGTCATTACTAGCCATTTTCAAAGTCACCATGGGAGGTAAATATATTTTCCATTAAAACATGATTTCAGTCTGAGATCTGTCTGAACTATTATTGCCTATAAACCTCAATAGCACAGATGTCATACAAAAATGAGAAAAATGTTTTATTCCTTTCTCAATTATTTCAGGAAATATGAACAAAATGAAATTATTGCATTGCTTGGTGTTTTTAGTACAAGGATGACAATATTTTAAAGTTGTTTGAATGGTACATTGAAATGATATATAAATTAAAATTTTAATATTAAGATTTTTTTCACATATTATAACACAACAAGACTCACTAGGAAAGATAAGTCTTGACTAAGTTATATTTAATTGGTTACCATTTTCAATATTAAAGTGACTTTGTCTTCTTACCTGTATTTAATATAATTTCCTACCAAGATATTTAGTTCATGGAGAACTTATTTTCTTCCTAGGGAGGGAAAAAAGAAGCTGGAGACAAAGTAGTTGTAAAAACTGGTTTATTTTTTTAAAAATAAATACAAAAATATAAATATAAAACATTAGCAGATAGAATTTGATGAAATGAAATTGCACAAATGTTTGTATACCAGGTTGCATATCACACCTACTAACACCACATGTACATTTTTTCTCATTAAATTTAATGTACAGAACAGGATATGTCTTAAAATTTGTCTGCACCTTTTCAAAAGCTTCATTTGCGAGGGCAGAACATGTATCTAACAGAAGCGGCTCATTTCTGAGGTTGCTTAAGGGAGAACTATCCTGTTCATGTTTCTGAATTTTTTTTTTTTTTTTTTTTTTTTTACTAAGATGGACAACACTGAATTTCCATAGCTTTGGCTCTTGGAAGTGATTAAATAAAATGTCGCATATATTCTATGAGACATCCTACAGGAAAGAATTAATGCAATTAATGAACAAATTAAGAAATAAATGGGAAAGAATTGTGCTGAGTGGCAGGAAACGTCTCCTGGTTATCAAATATGGTGAAGTGGAGACAGTGTCCTTCACGTCGCTTCCTCCTATTGAGCAGAAAAGAAATCCAGGTTAGGAGTCTTTGTCACTGTCCCCACCGCCATACATCTCCGCGAGCTTGTTAAACCTGGGGCCCCACTCCCGGAGGTAATCATAATTCTGGTCTCCTTCGGTGGTGCCTGACTCCAGGGAGCTCAGCGACTCAGCCACCGAGTCGTTGCCCTCATAGGCGTAGGTGGCCAGGGAGTCATAGGGTGGCGCAGTGGGGTCCAGGTCATGCTCCTTGAGCCTCTCAGCGATGAAATCCCTCACATCCGTGTTGTCAGGCGCCGTGGGAGTCCTGCGGGGGATAAAGAGCGCTTCTGGCATGATGTCCCGCCGCAGCTTCTTTTCCTCGATCGCTGCAGGATTCCTCAGCGTGCCAATGTCAAAGGCCTGGGTGTCCTCCTCGCCACCACCTTCGTCATTGTAGCTCACGATGTTGTCCCTGATGTCCTCCTTGGATAAGATCAGGGGCTCCTTCTTCCGCTGTCTCTTTAGAGCTGCAAACAGTACTACTATAACTTGAAAAAAAAA